AGTTCTCCTGCCTCAGCCTCCCGAGTAGCAGGGATTACAGCCACGCACCACCACGCCCAGCTAATTTTTGTATTTTTAGTAGAGACGGGGTTTCACCATGTTAACCAGGCTGGTCTTGAACTCCTGATCTCGTGATCCTCCCACCTCCACTTCCCAAAGTGCTGGGATTACAGGAGTAAGCCACCGCCCCGGGCCTCTACTGTAATATTTCTAAAGGTGTTCTCTGTATTTTCCCTAGTGATTCAGTGAAATACCAAATAAATATTGTCTAAACTTCTGAGCCTGTCAGTGAAAGCTTTCTAGGGCCGTAAGTTATTTTTCTATAGCTCCTGTCTTAACCGACCAGGAGACCCAGCAAATTCAGCTGAATCACTGTTGTCCTAAGTGTGCCACATCTGCTTGCTTTTGCTGACAGTCTGTTTGGCCTGCGGGAGCTTTTATCTATCTACAAGTGTCAAACTACTCGGTTCTTTGTAAACACCAAAACAAATGCCACTTCCCTGGCTGGGTCAAATGGTATCATGAATTCTACTGTTATTTTATGTATAACAATTATAATATTCTCCTTTTAAAAACAATTGATGTGTATGTAGGATTTATTGAGTAACTTTGAGAATAGAATTTTTAAATTAAAATCCTGTTTTTATATGTATCTTTGTGGGTGTTTTCTGTAAATAAAATGCACACATTTACCTCTAGCGAGGGCCCTATCATTAAAGGGAGATTTAGTTCCCATTGTATTTTTACTTATTGTAAGATTTAAAGTATATTGTATTTTTTCATATGAAATATGTTAACCTACCAAGTTTCTTCTGACCTAATAGTACTACTAATAATACAATAATAAACGCGTGTTTTATCATAATCAATAACTTCAAGAAGTTGAAATATAGAGATATTATAGCATCACTCTTCAACCAAACACCAATAGATGACATTTCATCTAATATCCTTCTCATTTACGTCAGCCCAGTTTCAATATATCCATTACAAGCACATTGTTTTCAAAATTAATGTTGTTTTGTAAAATATTCTTATCTATTGATGTTATTTTATTTCTTGTCATGAAACATTCTGTAATGTCTTATTTTAATTCTATCCTATTAATGTTTTTTCTTCCCTATTTTTAACATTTTAGTTATTCTATCATATATAGTGATGAAGTGAGCATACTTTTAGATAAATACTTGATTGTATCTGGCATTAAAATACATTTAGGGAGGTAGGCACCGTGCCTCATGCCTGTAATCCCAGCACATTTAGAGGCTAAAATGGGACACTCTCTGGAGGCCAGCAGTTTGACATCAGCCTGGACAACATAATGAGACCCCATCTCTACAGAAAACAAAATTAACTGGGTATAATGACATGTGCCTGGAGTCCTAGCTACTTGGGAGGCTGAGGTGGGAGGATCACTTGAGCCCAGGAGTTGGAGGCCGCAGTGAGCCATGATCGCATCACTGTGTAACAACCTGAGTGACAGAGTGAGACCCTGACTCTAAAACTAAAATACATTTGTTTAGTTTTTAATGATATTGAACATTTTTATGTGCTTTCTAGGGACTGTTTAAGTTGATCTTTGTATTTCCTCTCACATCTGAGTGACGTCGGGTACTGACTGACGTCAGGCATCTGTAACAGCTTTGGAATATCTTCCCAAACAGGTACAGCTCCAGATGGCTCTGGAACTTGTGAGGAAAGAGATGGAGGAGGCCTTGACTCAGGAGGCCAACTTGGGGAAAAAGACTGTCATTTGGAAGGTAAGAGCATGTTGGGGCTTTAGGAGGCTTGTGTGTTTGAAGGATCCAGGTTTGGATCAATAAGTCTTCAAGCATCATCCATTCTCTAGCACTTTTGTTCCATCTCTATAGTTGCTCAAGAAGAACATCTCAGGGCCATCCTGGATCATCCCTGTCCCCTCAAATGATATGGTTCATTTTTGTTTTGGTCTCTATTGCCATCACCCAATCCAAATTATAATTCAGTAACTTTACTAGCTTGATCTTACTGTGAAATCCACTGCTGTATCCCTATCACATAGAATAACATCTTATACTGTCACTACTGGTTTAAAAATATTAGGTGAATGAAATAATGAATATTTCACAACTTTGTAACAGATGAAACTACAGCACAAGATGATCATCTTATATACAGGGAATAATTTGAACATGCAGCCTTTTTTTGATCATCTATACACATATTCCATCTTTTTTACACCTCACCAGCTCTTTTTATTCCCTTAATGTTTTGTTTATGCACATGTGTGTGCACACATGTATACACACACACACACACATACACACAGTGATTCACATACACACAGTGATTCTCAGTCTGGGGCGACACCCCCCCCCCTTAGATACATTTTGCAATATCTGGAGATATTTTTGGTTGTCACAACTGAGGAAGGGTGGGTGCTATACACCTATCATCTAGTAGAGGCAGGAATGCAGCTTAACACCCTGTAGTCCACAGGACAGTCCCCATAACTTACAAGAAAAACTGATGTGTTCAAGATGTCTATATTGTCAAGATTGAGAAACTATATATAGAAACTGTGTGTATAGTTGTATATATTCATATAGTGTATTACATAATACGATATATATATATAATAGGTTATACTGGACAGAATATTCCTATTCTTTTTCCTTTTCCAAATAACTCTTCTTTTCTGATCACTCTATATATTTCTAATTCTTTCCTTCTTTTCTTTGAAAATTTAATCTTATACTCCATCTTTACACAGATATTACATAAAGACTTTTTTTTTTGAGATGGAGTTTCACTTTGTCGCCCAGACTGGAGTGCAGTGGAGCGATCTTGACTCACTGCAACCTCTGCTGCCTGGGTTCAAGCGATTCTCCTGCTTCAGCCTCTTGAGTAGCTGGGATTACAGGCACCTGCCATTGTGCCTGCCTAATTTTTGTATTTTTTTTTAAGTAAAGACGGGGTTTCGCTAACTTGATCAGGCTGGTCTTGAACTCTTGACCTTGTGATCCACCCGCCTTGGTGTGAACCACCATGCCTGGCCATAAAGACTATTTTTTAACTACATTTTTCTACATTTACTACAGTACTAGATTATAATATATATACATAGTGATAGGAAAGGATAACACTTACCCCAGAAGAAAAATGTACATTATAGGTAAATACTGTACATAGTGCTAGGAAAGGATAAAAGTTATCAATATTAAATAATATGGATGTTAATAACATCAGTACCTGACGTTCCTCAGATGTGTGAAGAAGTAGTAAAACTTATTAATGTTAATACTGACAAGCTTGTTTGTCAATATTATTAACAAATATTTTTAAACTAGTAGTGACAGTATAAGGTGCAATTCTAGGTGATAGGGATATGACAATGGGTTTTACAGTAAGAGCAAGCTAGTAAAGCATAGTTTGGATTGGGTAGTGGCAATAGAGATAAAAAGAGTAAGAACAAATCTTTACAATATTAAATAATGTACATTATTGACATGTAATGTACCTAGTGATAGGATGTACATTATTTTATTGTAATATTGATTAATAATGTTTGTTCTTTTCAGGCTGAAATACAAGTCCATTGTTTTCAATCCTGGCTTGACCATAGATCTATAAAATCAGAATCCCCATATTCGGAGATCTGAGATCCTGCATGCTTTAAGCCCTCTACCCATTATTCTTAAGTAGGGATGATACTAATATCTTTGTTCTAAGCCAGGTAAACTTGCATGATCATTACCATCAAGAATGTATCCGTGTGAGCCAAGTACAGCAAGCACATGTTTGGTAAAAAGGTTTCTAAATACTACAGAACAACCTTTCCTCTTTCTCTATCTGCAGATATAGTTCTGCTCAAGAGGGTGGTGTGAAAGGAAGATGAATTGCAGGCAAATCGCTTCCCACCACACCCTCCCTCACGCCCCAGGTATGACTCTACTCTTTTCTAGCGGCTGTGTTACTTGCCCCACCCCACCACAGCCCAGCCTCTGATATGAAGACAGCTTCTCATATTTACATGAGTTACATCTTTCAGGAATCACCACATGGAGTTCAGAGTTGACTGATTTCAGAAACAAGGTGAAGTCTTCTGAATCTGGTGATCTAGAAAATGGTAGAAGGGGCCAGTCATGGTGGCTTATGCCTGTAATCCCAGCACTTTGGAAGACTGAGGTGGGAGGATCACCTGAGGTTGGGAGTTTGAGACCAGCCTGACCAACATGGTGAAACCCTGTCTTTACTAAAAATACAAAAATTAGTTGGGTGTAGTGGCAGGTGCCTGTAATCCCAGCTATTCAGGAGGCTGAGGCAGGAGAATCGTTTGAACCTGGGAGGTACAGCTTACAGTGAGCCGAGATTGTACCACTGCACTCCAGCCTGGGTGACAGAGTGAGACTCCATCTTAAAAAAAAAAAAATGGTGGAAGTAGAGATGGAAAATGAAAGGAAGGAGTTAAGTCTTAGGGGATGTTTAGAGTTTAAAAAGGTGATAGCTTCTGCCTTTTAGTCAAAGCAAGAAGATAACCACATTTAAAAACAGGCAAATGACTTTACCTATGAAGCAATATAACAATGTAATAAAACTGCATTTGTACCCCATGAATATATACAAAAAATGCAATCAATAAAAACAGGACAGAGAATCCGAGGTATGGGTACTTCGAGGGAATGATTTGCCTGTCAAACTCAGTTTAAAGTTAGCTTCTTGTATACTCACCTTGGGAGAAGAAAATCTACCAAATAAACCTGTGACAAAGTATGTTCCTTAGGTCTATTCAAAAACTGTAGATGTGAGATTTGGGTAGCAGTCAGGATTAGTTCCCTGATGTGAACGCTGAAACCGTGGCTGAGCATCGCTTAGTTCTTTCTTGGCTTTGTAGAGAACGTTAGGCTTATGGTTGTGTTCACTATTACCATATTATGAAACAGCATTCATATTTTCTCATCTCTAGGCCTTTCTTATTCAAACAATTCTAGGTCTCTAATATTTCTTCAAGATTCAGTTGTTTCGAGTGGTTCTAGTGAGTAATCTACTGGTAAATAGTAACTTCTGTTGTGTCACTGCTCTATGCTAATCACTGTTCTTGCAGTTTAATAGATATTTAACTGTAATCCACATATTCTTCTTTTCCCCACATTTTTAAAGAGATGGAGTCTTGCTCTCTTGCCCAGGCTGAAGTGCAGTGGTGCAGTCATCGTTTACTGCAGCCTCGAGCTGTTAGGCTCAAGTGATCCTCCCACCTCAGCCTTGTGGGTAGCTGGAACTGCAGAGCTTACCACCATGCCCAGCTAGTTGATTTTAATTTTTTTAGAGATGGGGTTGCGGCTTGCTTTGTTACCCAGGCTGATCTTGAACTCCTGGCCTTAAGCAATCCTCCCGCCTCAACTTCACTGAAATCTCACATTTTGTGTATTTTGCTGAAACTTGAATATGAAAGTGCCTCACCCCAAAGCCTATGGCAAAATGGGAACCCCAGTCCAACATTATTTTTCAAACTTTAGTTTGAACACTTGGCTGGGCACAGTGGCTCATGCCTGTAATCCTAGCACTTTGGGAGGCCGAGGCCAGTGGATCACGAGGTCAGCCTGGCCAACATGATGAAACCCCATCTCTACTAAAAATACATACACACACACACACACACACACACACACACACACGCACAATCAGCTGGGCATGGTGGTGTCCACCTGTAGTCCCAGCTACTTGGGAGGCTAAGGCAGAAGAATAACTGGAACTCGAGAGATGGAGGTTGCAGTGAGCTAAGAACGTGCCACTGCACTCCAGCCTGGGTGACAGAGTGGGACTCTGTCTCAGAAGAAAAGAAAACTCTACTGGGCTGCTTCTTATATGAATGGACTGCAGTCTGCCCATGTTGTTGGAATGCAGCCAGTCAGTCCACAGAGTTACGGAGCTCAGGAAATGCTGGATGTTGCCTTCTCCAGCATCATCCTGTACACAGCTGCAGGAGGCCAAGTGTGATGACGTGATCCACTGTGTCACCTCAGGAGAAAGTGGAAATGCAGAGGCAGCGCTTCCGCTTGGAGTTTGAGAAGCATCGTGGCTTCCTGGCCCAGGAGGAGCAACTGCAGCTGCGGCGGCTAGAGGAGGAGGAGCGAGTGACCCTGCAGAGACTGCGTGAGAGCAAGGGCCGGCTGGCCCAGCACAGCAAGGCCCTGAAGGAACTGGCAGATGAGCTGGAGGAGAGGTGCCAGCGCCCAGCCCTTGGCCTGCTGGAGGTGAGGCCGGGTGCCACAAAAGCAGGCAGATGTGAGACTGACGTGGGAGACAAGGACAGTGGCTTTCAGAGACAAACACTTTGGCATTTGTGTTCTTTAGGAAACGGCACCCTAGAATTTCTCAGAACGCAGCTTAAACACCCTAGAATTTCTCAAAAGGCAGCTTAAACACCCTAGAATTTACTCAGAATCGTGAGATTCTAGAGAATTCTATAGTTTGAATCTGGCATGGTGGCACATGCCTGCAGTTCCAGCTACTACAGAGGCTGAGACAGGAGGATCGCTTGGTCCAAGGAAATTGAGACCAGCCTGGGCAACACAGCAAGACCCTCTCTCAAAAAACAAACAAACAGCGTATGGTTCATATTAAGGACTAAATAATTTTTTAAATTAAAATTAAGTTAATGATTTCTGAGAATGTAAACAGCTAGGAAAAGGACAGGCTGCCCTCTGCTGGTGACGAAGTGTTTCTTGAAACCTCACAGTCAGGTTGTCACGAAGGCACTGCAGTTTTTCAGTGATGGCTAACCCAGAAAGTCTGCATGACACATTTCAGTGTCACAGCCAAAAGGGTGAATAATGATTTAAATTGTCCAACTTGAAACTGTTATACTGGATTGTAAAGCAAACACTTGTTTCCTGGCCCACGTTGCATGCCTGTTTCAGGCACGGTGAGGAGGGGTTACGTGGACTCCTGTGTAGTTTGCTCCCAATCTATTTGGGATTAGAGAACAGAAAGACAAATAACAGTAAAAGGAAATCTTTGCTTTTAATCCTCTGTGGAGACATCATATCCCAGTGAACAGCGAAAGCCGCAGTTGTTGATGAATCTGTGTTTTCTTGATAGAATCAATGCCAACAGGAATTTATCTGGGCGACTTCTTTTTTTGGAGATGGAGTTTTGCTCTTGTTGCCCAGGCTGGAGTATAATAATGACATGATCTCAGCTCACCACAACCTCTGCCTCGCGGGTTCAAGCGATTCTCCTCCTTCAGTCTTCTTAGTAGCTGGGATTACAGGCATGTGCCACCAGCCAGGCTAATTTTTTGTATTTTTAGTAGAGACGGAGTTTCTCCATCTTGGTCAGGCTGGTCTTGAACTCCCAACCTCAGGTGATCTGCCTGCCTGAGCCTCCCAAAGTGCTGGGGTTACAGATGTGGGCCGCTGCGCCCAGCCTATCTGGGTCGACTTCTGTCTCCTCCCCAATGACTCATTCAGGGAGTTCTAAACTAAGTGATTCATGTCCTCATTTAACAGCTGACCCACAGATTCTACCTTTTCAGACTTAGTTCTAGACACTGAAAGACCATGAATATAAATAATCATATTAATTATCTGTATAATATTTACAAGTACAGTGACTAAACAGTACTGGTGACGTGTCAGGGGAGCATTAAATGAATGAATTTATAAAGCAGTTTAATTTGTCTCATTTTATCTTTTATATATATATATGCATATATATATATATAAAAGATATATAAATTATATTTTATTATTATTGTTATGTTCATTTCCTTAGTAAACTAGAGTCAGAAAGGAGTTAATTTTCTAAATAGCAGATAGCAAATAAACACAAGAACTTTGACAGTTTCTTTCTTTTTTTTTGTTTTTTTTGAGACAGAGTCTCACTCTGTTGCCTAGCCTGGAGTACAGTGGTGTGAACTTGGCTCACTGCAACCTCCACCTCATGGGCTCAAGCGATTCTCCTGCCTCCGCCTCCTGAGTAGCTGGGATTACAGGCATGTGCCAATGCACCTGGCTAATTTTTGTTGTTGTTGTTGTATTTTTAGTAGAGACAGGGTTTTGCCATGTTGGCCAGGCTGGTCTTGAATTCCTGACCTTAGGTGATCCATCCACTTTGGCCTCCCAGAGTGCTAGGATTATAGGCATGAGCCCCCGTGTCTGGCTTGACAGTTTCAACAATAACATTTATTGCCTTAACTCACCATGTCTCACGTAACAACCATTTAAATTTAGCACTTTACCACCAAATAGATGTTATAAAACAAATTATAGGGAGGATAAATTCTTGAATAATGTATCTATTTTTTTTAAAAGACAGGATCTCGTTCTGTCACTCAGGCTGCAGTGCAGTGGCATGATCATAGCTCATTGCAGCCTCAGTCTCCTAGATCAGGCAATCCTTGTGCCTCTGCCTCCTGAGTAGCTGGGACTACAGGTGTGCACCACCATGCCCAGCTAATTTTGTAAAAAGTTTTAGTAGACATGAGGCTTGGTTATGTTGCCCAGGCTGTATATTTTTACACTTTCCTTTCCCTTTCTTTCCTGGTACTAATAAGCTACATTTTACCCCCAAAGGCCAGGACCGAGGCCTGACATTCCCATACAGGGTAAAGCAGATTTTTTTTTCCCTGCTTTTATGCCATCAGGACTTATCTGACTGGTGACTGTTTTTAAGGGGGGAGGGAAAATGTATCCCAAATACAATTATTAATGTAATAAATATATTACAGATATATTTATTTAATAATCTACTTTGAGAAAAATTGTTGCTAGTTATTAAAGGCTTTCTTTTTTAATCTACTTAGGTAACCTACTCGATATGAATGGCTCTGGTATGTTGGTTCAAAGAATTAGGAATTTGTAATTCTTATAAAGACATTTAGGGAAACATTTTGTGTCTTTATTTGAGGAACCTTTCCCTGCCCTCCAAATAAATTCTACAAGTTCTTAGGATCTATTTTATCCTATTCCGTCTGAATTACATGCAGAATGTTACTCTGCTACAATATCCAAGTGCCAGAATTATTAATTCAGAAGATAAATTGATAGATGTTACAGGAATTAATCTAAATTTTGTGTGGCTTTAAAGAAAAGAGATTTGGCCAGGCACAGTGACTCATGCTTGTAACCCCAGTACTTTGGGAGGCTGAGGTGGGTGGATCACCTGAGATCAGGAGTTCGAGACCAGCCTGGTCAACATGGTGAAACCCTGTCTCTACTAAAAATACAAAAAAATTTAGCCAGGTGTTTGGTGGGCATCTGTAATCCCAGCTACTCGGGAGGCTGAGGCAGGAGAATCACTTGAACCTGGGAGGCAGAGGTTGCAGTGAGCCAAGATTGCACTGTTGCACTCCAACCTGGGCAACAAGAGTGAAACTCCATCTCAAAAAAAAAAGAGAAAATAGTTTTATTGTCCCCTATAATTGTATCTTAATCGTTAATGTTTTCCAGTAATTTCTAAGGAAATTTTCATGGTGTCCCTAGTCTGACTGTGAAAAGCAATTTGGAGGTCCAGCTCATGCAGTTTGTGTTTTTCTTTCCTTTTCAGGGTGTAAGAGGAGTCCTGAGTAGGTGTGTCTGCTTTCTGAATTGGTGAAGGGATTGGGAGAGGCAGAGGAGCTGGTGGATGGCGCTGCTGACTTCTGTGGTTTCTGTGCTCTTCTCAGAAGTAAGGCTGTCACGAGGCTGGAAGCAGAGAACATCCCCATGGAACTGAGGACAGCATGTCGCATCCCTGGGAGGAGGGAAATGCTGAGGAAATTCCAAGGTAGTTTGCACTTTAGGGATTGGGAATTCAGTGCGTGGGGTTTGCCTAGTATTGCAGTGTGCCAGTCAGCCGCAGTGACCCACAGAACCTGAAGTCTCAGTGGCCCACATCAGCGGATATTTATTTTGAGAGTGTGCTGTTGGTTTGTTACTGGGTGTGGGGCCTTCTGTGGTACCTCTCCTCACTCTGGGACCCATGCTGACAGAGCTCCACCTTCCTGCTGGTGCTGGGAGCCATACACAAGGGCAAGGTTATTAAAGGGATGGGGGATAAGTTCTCTTTACAGCATCAATACAGCATATCACTTCTGGTCACCAAAATGTGTGGGGATTTCTCCCGCAAACAGCCAATCTGTTCTCCAGCAGATGCTCCAGCCAGAAGTCCTTCCCTGCCATTTGATTTTGACACTATCTACCTGGAGATGGCATCAGGTCCCACAGGTTGAGGGTTTAGTCCCACAGACTGACCCCACTTCATATGCTGGTCACAAGCACAGGTTGTGGCCTATGATTCTGACCAACTGACTGTAAATTGGGGTTCCCACTACCTCCTTCTTGAGTTCACCTAATTTCCTGAACCAGCTCGCAGAACTCAGGGACACATTTTTACTCACTTATTATAATGGGTGTTACAGAGGATACAGATGAACAGCTGGAAGAGATTCATAGGGCGAGGTTTGTGAGAAGCGGTATGGAGCTTCACACCCTGTAGGCATGCTACCTTCAGAACCGCCATGTGTTCAGCTATCTGGAACGCCTCAGAACTCAGTTCTTTTGGTTGTTTTTGTTTTTGTTTTGAGATGGAGTCTCACTGGAGTGGAGTGGTGCAATCTCGGCTCACTGCAACCTCCGCCTCCCAGGTTCAAGCAATTCTACCTCAGCCTCCAGAGTAGCTGAGACTATAGGCACATGCCTCCACGCCCCGCTAATTTTTGTATTTTTAGTAGAGATGCGGTTTCACCTTGTTAGCCAGGATGGCCTTAATCTCTTGACCTCGTGATCCACCTGCCTCGGCCTCCCAAAGTGCTGGGATTACAGGCATGAGCCATCAGACCTGGCCTCTTTTGACTTTTTATGGAAGCACTATGTAGACATGATTGATTAAGTCATAGGCCATTGGTTTATCAACCCACCCTTCTCTTCTTCAGAGGTGGGTGGGGGCGTGGCACACAGGACTGAAAGTTTCCAGCCTCTAATCACGTGGCTGGTGCCCCTGGTAACCCACACCCAGTGGGGGCTTTCTGGGGGTCACCAACTACAAGTCATCCCACTAGCATACAAAAGACACTTGTCTTTCTGGAAATTCCAAGGATTTTAAGAACTGTATGTCAGTAAACAGGATGTAGACCAAATATATCCTTCACAGTATCAGTGGTGTGGTGACTCATGCACTCCTCTTAAAGGCATCCATGCTGAATGGGGCATGTGACCTTGCTGAGATTTCATGGCTATGCCAAACTGTAAAGGAGACAGTGTAGAGGGCAAGGCAGAACTTTCCCCTTTCCCTAGGAATGTTTGCTGAAAATCAACTGACCAAAGACAAATAGGAACACAGGCATAGAAAAGTTGTAACATTCATAGCACAGTGGAACTGCAGGAGAGTAATTACCCAGTAACTCGGTGGGATGCAGATGCTTACATACCCTTCTTTATTGGAGGAAAGGAAGATGGGGAGATGTGGGTGATTTTAGGGGGATAGTAAATGATTTTTTTCGAGGATTCTTTGGGCTTGATGTACATACAGTGGCTTGGGACAAAGTCTGTTGAAAAGTAGACAGTGGTTTGTGACTAAAGTTTGTCCAGGTGTGTTCACAGATTAAGTCTGTCTTCCTGCAGTATGAGCTAAATTATTTAAGAACACAGAGACTTTAGGCAGATAAATGACTGTTAGAATAAAGCTTCCTCCAGTGTGTGCTGGTCTCCAAGGACCTTTGCTTTAAAATAATGGGTTTACCAGGGTGCCATATTTTAGGGTAAAATTCCCTGCCCTCCTTCAGTGGGAGAGTACACCATGCCAGAAGAATGAGGATTGGTATATTCATGAAGAACATCAGAGTCACGGCCACGCATAGAGTCTATATTTGGTTAGAACAATGGGTGCAAAATTGTAGTTTATCTCCTATTAGCTGTGATATGAGTAACGTTAGTCCCAGTAAATTTCCATTTTTCCTTGTTTATAAAATGCTAAAAAAACTGTTTGGAGGACAAAATGAAACATTTGAAAGCACCCCACCTCCTGAAAGTAATCAATATGAAAGCATTGCAGTTATCAATTAACAAGAAGTTTGGTTTAATATACTGGCTGAGAATTTGATGATTTGCTTGAATTAGTCAATAAAGCCAAAAATATTGTTAATTATTTTTATGTAGGAATAAGCAGTGTCACAAAAATTTAGTTTGTTCAGTCTGATTGTGTTATTCTTTAAAACAGTATAGATTCAGTATTTTTTTAAAATTTCATTTTAAAATCTAATTTATCCCAAGTAATGAAAATAGTCTGTGTCTGAATGGTCACTTCACTACTTACAGAGAAAGATTGTAATGTCTCCTTAACGAGAAAACCCATCTCCTCACCATAGTACCCACGTTCTCATGGGCAGATGAATATGTACTAAATGCCTGACTTGATTAAAGTTATCATGTCACCATCAGACACAGGTAACCTCATATCAATATTTATTTCTATTGAATGAAATAATCAATTCAAAATGTATTACTCATTTTATCTCATCCATTCTTTTAAACGTTGGAATATATCATTCAACAACAGCAACAAAATACGCTACTACAGTCCATAGCTTTGTGTTGCAGATATTTACTTAATCAAAATACACAGACTGTAAGTGGATGATACAGGTTATTGAGGAAAATTAAAAGGAGTGTGAAAAGGGTAACAAGAAGTTCTAGTTTTGAATAAGGTGACCAGGGAAGACCTTGGCCTGTAGCGGATAGCCCAGCAAACATGTGATCTGGAAGAAAGCATTCAGGCAGCAGAAATGAACACTAAGGCCTGACATGGAGGATGGCAGGTGTGTTCCAGGAGCCGTGAGGATGCCAGTGTGAGGACTCTCTGGCAGAGTAAATGACAGGAGGGTTGGAGAGACCAAGGAAGGGCTAGACAGGCAAGCCACTCTGAGTATGATACTTTATCCCTGAGTGACATAGGACATCACTGAAAGATGATTGGGCCAGGCACCATGGCTCATGCCTTTAATCTCAGCCCTTTGGGAGGCCAAGGTGGGCAGATCACTTGAAGTCAGGAATTTGAGACCAGCCTAGCCAACACGATGAAAACCCATCTCTATTAAAAATATAAAAATTGGCCGGGCGCGGTGGCTCAAGCCTGTAATCCCAGCACTTTGGGAGGCCAAGGCGGGTGGATCACGAGGTCAAGAGATCGAGACCATCCTGGTCAACATGGTGAAACCCCGTCTCTACTAAAAATACAAAAAATTAGCTGGGCATGGTGGTGTGTGCCTGTAATCCCAGCTACTCAGGAGGCTGAGGCAGGAGAATTGCCTGAACCCAGGAGGCGGAGGTTGCGGTGAGCCGAGATCGCGCCATTGTACTCCAGCCTGGGTAACAAGAGCGAAACTCCGTCTCAAAAAAAAAAAAAAAAATTAGCCCACACCCAACTACTTGGGAGGCTGAGGCAGGAGAATTGCTTGAACCCAGGAGATGGAGGTTGCAGTGAGCTGAGATCGTGCCACTGCACTCCAGCCTGGGCAACAAGATTGAGGCTCTTTCTCAAAAAATAGAAAAAGAAAAATAGTTTGTACTAATGTTTTCTGAGGATCACTCTATATGCATTCTTGTAAGTAAATTACAGAGAAGAGAAGATTGACATGGGAAAAACAGCTAAGGATTTTTGGAGTAATTTGGTGAGAGATGATTATGTTGGTACAGATGTTATTACTGAAGGTGCCGCAAGATGGACAGATTGTTATATACTGAAGGCAGAGCTGGTAAGATTTGCTGTTGGATTATGTATGGTGTGCCATAAAAAAGAACAGCCAGGAATGATTCCAAGGTTTTGGATCTTACAAACTGGCAAAATGTGATTGCCACTTATATTGATGAGGAAAGCTGCACTTGAAGCAGAAGGAGGAGGTTGGGTTTTGGACACGTGGTTATTGCGATGAGTGCTAAATATCCAAATATTGGTGTCAGGTAAACAGATGAATGTACAATATGGAGTTTCAGGGTAAAGGTCAAACCTAAGGACATGCATTGAGAATCAGTCATCATATGAATGGAAGTTTATCAAAGCAATGAGCCAGCCAAGCCCCGGGTAGATAGGGAGTGAGCTGAGAGAGAAAGAAGAGGCCCAAGTCTTGGGACCACAGGTTTCTCCAGTGGTGGTGGACGAGGAGAGGAGAACAGCAAACAGGGCCAAGGAGTAGCAGGCAGAGAGGAAGGGGAGACATGGATGAGTGTTATCTTTGGAAACAGGAGACTTTTCGGACAAATGGATTCTCAGTAGTGTTGAGAGCTACAGAAACATCATTTAAGATGAACTATGACAAATAACCATTCATCAAAGTGGAGGCCCCTGGGAAGATGGACATGAGCAGTTGGGGTGGAGTGTGGTCATATCATGATGAAGAATTGAGTTTAGGAGAGAAATGGTAGGGAGAGGAATAGGATATAGACCACGTCAAAAGCCATTTCACAGTCCTCTTTTGTTAGAAATGACGCAGCCAGGTGTGCCGGAGCAGGAATGGCGTGGGGACACATGACCTATGTTAAATGCACACTCAGTGGAGGCCTACCTCCCAGCCTCTGTTATTCATCTCTAGAGTCTGGAAAACCACATCAACTCTTTGACTCTGAATCTACTCTTGTGTAATGCAGGGATGACTGTGGTGACCGTCAGGGTGGCTGCGTGAGTTAATATAAATAATGCAGTGGGCAGTTATGTGACCACTCAGGTTGGATATCAAGAAGAGTTTACTAGGCTGGCTGTGGTGGCTCACGCCTGTAATCCCAGAACTTTGGGAGGCTAAGATGGGTGGATCACGTGAGGTCAGGAGTTTCAAACCGGCCTGGGCAACATGGCAAAACCCCATCTCTACAAAAAATACAGAAAACTAGCTGGGTAAGGTGGTGCATGCCTGTAGTCCCAGCTACTCAGAAGGCTGAGGTGGGGGGATTGCTTGAGTCTGGGAGGTGGAGTCTGCAGTGAGCCGTGATTGCACCACTGCACTCCAGACTGGGCAACAGAACAAGGCTCTGTCTCAATTTAAAAAAAAAAGTTCACTAGAAGTGTTTAGAGGCAAATAAGTGTAGTGGCAGTGGCAGTAGTGGGTAGTACCGTGGCAATAGCAGTAGCAGTAGAAGGAGTACTTGTTCTGATGTTAAAAATCAAACTATATTCACATGTTAGTCTGTTTTTGCCTTGCTATAAAGAAATACCTGAGGCTGGGTATTTTGTTAATATAAGGATATGTGGTTTATTTTGGCTCATGGTTCTGTAGACTGTACAGGAAGCATGGTGCTGGCACCTGCATCTGGCGAGGCCTCAGGAAACCTCCAGTCATGGTGGAAAGCAAAGGGGGAGCCAGCATATCACATGGCAAGAAAGGAAGCAGTGAAGTGGGGGGCTTCCAGGTTCCTCTTAAACAAGCAGCTCTTGCAAGCTAAGCCACATTTCAACATGAGATTCCGAGGGGATACACATCCAAACCGTGTTATTAATTAACTTGCTACCTATGAGGAATGCTTATAAGGAAATCCACTGAATATTTTACATTCTCCCTTCTTCCTTGAGTTTCATATCTAGATATATTTATTTACTATGTATATGGGTCAGATGTCTCATCAGTCTTGCTGGGACTTCACAGGATCAATTTTTTAAATTGTTAATATAACAAGTCACTGCAAGCTTAGCTGCTTAAAGCCATACCATTTAGTATCTCACAGTTCTGGAGATAGACATCCAGGTGGGATCAGCTGGCTCCTCTGCTTCCTTTGGTTTCCTCAAGGCCCAAATACGGGTGTTGGCTAGGCTAGGCTTCTCTGTAGGTCTGGGGAAGAATCTTAACCCTGAGCTTATTCAGATTGTTGGCATAATGCAGTTCCATGCAAAGGCAGTACTGAGATTCCTGTTTTCTTGCTGGCTGTTGGTTGGGGGCCATTCCAGCTCTGGAGAGCACTCTCAGCTCTAGAACTCACTCGTCTTTCTCCTCATGTGACCTTTCCCTCTTCAAAGCCAGCAAAGAGATATCAAATCCATGTCTTATTGACCTTTCCTGCTGCCACCAACCCAGTAGCCAGAGAAAACGTTATGATTTTATAGAACTTGTGGGATTAGATTCGACCCATCTAGATAATCTGTCTCTTGTCATATAATGTAACATAGTCATAAGGCTAACACCAGGGTGTGAAGGTCATGGGGTCCGTCTTAGAATTCTGCCTACCACAGTAATATAATCTTGAAGGTAGTGGATTTCATGTTAATAAAATTCTCCTATAGATTTTAAGAAAAAGAAACCCCTAAGGGGTTTATAAATTTTATGTTAAATGCAGAGGATCCTCCTACGTGTACCCAAATGTTTTGGATGTAAGCCAGACATGGTGGTGTGCACCTAGAGTCCCAGATACTGGGGAGGCAGACACAGGAGGTCCCTTGAGTCCAGGAGTTTGAGGCTGTAGTGTACCATGGCTGTGCCCCTAAATACCTCTGAACTCCAGCCTGGGCAACATAGTAAGACTCCGTCTCACACACACATACACACACACACACAAATGCTTTAGATGTAAATGAAACTAAATGATTATTCACTTGCTTTGTCATCATCACTTAATTGTTTTCATTGGGGAAGTTAATGAGTTCTGAGTTATGCAGAGGAAACAGTGGAATAGACCAGAAAGTAATATAGAATAAAGAATAATGAAGTAATAAAGAATATTTCACTTGTAAGGTGAAATACTGATTTGTTTTCTCTAGGAGTTATTAGAGAGAGAAAAGTGAGGAACTGTGGGACTATTCTTTGCAGTGGCTTCCTAAGTTTCTACCAGTCCTTTCTTTCCTTTCACCTGCTCCACCAAATTCTTTCCACAGTGGATGTAAAGCTGGATCCCGCCACGGCGCACCCAAGTCTGCTCTTGACTGCTGACCTGCGCAGTGTGCAGGATGGAGAACTGTGGAGGGATGTCCCCAGCAACCCTGAGCGATTTGACACATGGCCTTGTGTCCTGGGTTTGCAGTCCTTCTCGTCGGGAAGGCATTACTGGGAGGTGCAGGTGGGAGAAGGAGCGGAGTGGGGGTTAGGGGTCTGTCAAGACACACTGGTAAGAAAGGGGGAAACCACACCGTCTCCCGAGAACGGGGTCTGGGCCCTGTGGCTGCTGAAAGGGAATGAGTACATGGTCCTTGCCTCCCCATCAGTGCCTCTTCTCCGACTGGAAAGTCCCCGCTGCGTTGGGATTTTCTTGGACTATGAAGCCGGTGAAGTCTCATTTTACAACGTCACAAATGGATCTTATATATACACATTCAACCAGCTCTTCTCTGGTGTTCTTCGGCCTTACTTTTTCATCTGTGATGCAACTCCTGTTGCCTTGCCACCTATAACAGCAACAGAGTCAGGAAATTGTGCATCCAGGGATCATTTAGATCCTGCTTCTCATGTAAGAGATGATCATCTCTAAAATTCTGTTCCAAGATGCAGTCCTAGCCTAGCCAACGTTCCTGGAGGGGTGAAGGATGTCAACATGCTAAGTTTTAACAAATACCCTCATTTAGGCCAGCACCATAATCCTTGTTGCTGTGGAAATATTTCTATGGGACAAAAGAAGTAATATGAAATATTTGCATCCGGGAAGATTATAGAGCATAATGATTTTAGAAATGGAGCAGCCTCAGCCTCTATTTCTAGATCACACTTTCTTGATGAGTCTTCCTTCAAATTAATGACCTTGGATTGCATAAGGATTTCTTTTCATTCATTAACATTTTTTATACCTTTTAATATCCTTTTATTCCAAATCTTCCATGTAAGAATTAACATGGCAATTCTTAAATGGATTCACAATGGTGTGATACTATTCCAGTATCACATCCATAATTCTGTATTTCTCCTCCTTTTCCTGATTTTCCTCCTCATTCTCTCCTTTCCCCTCTGTCTTTCTGTTATTCTCACTCTTTGTCTCTCTCATTCCTTGTTTCTTACCTCTTATTGTTTAACCTGTTGTTTCCTTCTAAATTAATATATTTCGAGCCATTCCTTTATACATTCACATTGCCTATGACGTTACTCAGTTACTTTAAAAATCCTTTTTATTCTGGAACTAATTTTTAAGAATTATGAAGCTCATTCCCCTGAATCTAATATCACTGACTCCTAGACTTTTTCCTTTTTCTTTGGATACACTCTAAATAGAATTTATCAGAATTTTCATTCAACTTGTTCTTTGACCTAGACATTTACTAGTTATAAGACCTCAAGGCTGGGTGCAGTGGCTCATGCCTTTAATTCCAGTACTCTGGGAGGCTGAGGTGGGCAAATCACAAGGTCAGGGGTTCAAGACCAGCCTGACCAACATGGTAAAAAATGTCTACTAAAAAAAAAAAATAGAAAAAATTAGCTGGGTGGCAGGTGCCTGTGATTCCAGCTACTAAGGAGGCTGAGGCAGGAGAATAGCTTGAACCCGGGAGGCAGAGGTTGCAGTGAGCCTAGATCACACCACTGCACTCTAGCCCAGGCAACAGTACGAGACTCGGTCTCAAAAGAAAAAAAAAAAAGTTCTCAAACAACACACCTGTTTTTCTTTCAGCTGCTTATTATGGTTCCTATACATGCAACAAATATACTGGCCTCACAGTGTTATAGTGTATACTTAAGGTTATAATTGATATTGCTGGTTTGAATTCAGCTTTTCTATTTAAGTACTTTATGATGATGATGATGAAATGATGATAATAGTTAACATTTTTAAAGTAGGTTCTGTACCTTTCCAACAAAATTCTTAAAAGTTATTGAAGGCTAACCTTGCTGCCTTCTTTATATCAGTATCTTATAAGTAATTGCTACACAAATGCTAAAATGCTTAAATGATAAATGCTTCAATGCTAACCAAATATTAATTAATGACAAATTATTTAACATTATCTGGTAATAATCTGCAGAAGGTTTAACTTTTCCTTCTCAATTTGAAGTTCAAGATACTTTTCCAGGGAGATTTTTTTTTGACTGACATCCTTAACTTACCTTCCAGCTATATTACTAATGTAGCTTTCTTTCCAGATTTTTTTAATTGTCTGATCATGACCGAACACGTCTCTGTGTCTCAGCTTTGCAAACAGAGGAAATAACGCATCCGTACGTCCCTCTTGCTGGTGTTGCGCAGACCATGCTTGCCCTGGGCCTCCCTCATGCAAAGTCCGCATGGAGAAGATGGGCTTCAGCTCGGCAGCAGCATCCCTTCCCACGAGGATGAGGAGGGATGATGGCAGTGGCTGGAGATGCCCCTTCCATGGGGCACCACCCATTCACAGAGACGCCTTCCACTCTCTTCATAGGGGGAAACGAATCCCAGGAATATTCTGGTCTCAACTGTCTCCCTTGAATCTTGTCTCACTGTGCATTTTATTATGGTTTAAGTCAGTCAGTAACTGAAGTGAGTCTTCATCTCTTGCATTCAGTTCAAAGAGCTTTGCGTGTCTCCTATGATGACCTGTCCCTTTCCGTCTCCAACTCCTAAAAGATTTCCACTATTTCCTCTGGAATTTTGTTTCATGACCAGCAAAATCCTCTAAATCCATACCATTTCCTGGCTTTTCCTATCCTTTCCTCTGAATGCCAGTCTTTTACATTCAGCTCTCCACTTGACATCAAAATAGACATTTTAAACTCAATATTCCTAAAACTTAACTCCATTTTTCCCCCAAGTCTCCCCACTTACACAGCAACAACAGCAACAAACACCACAGGCATCTTGTGTCACTGGAAGGCAACTCCATTCCTTTGATGCTGAGGCCAGGCGTCTGATGGAGTCCTCTCTTGATTTCTCTAACCCAGGTCCAGCCCATCAGCAAGCCCTGCTGGTCCTGCCTTTGGAACATGTCTAGGGTTCAGTTGTCCTGGCCGCCCAGCTGCTGTAACTGTGGTCGGAACTCCATCCTGCCTCTCTGGATTATGACACTTGTTTCCTCACAATGGTCCTGCTTGGGCTCTAGGCCCTTCCACTCCCATTCTCTACTGCAGCTGGGCTGATCCTTTTAACACCCAATGATGTGTTGCCATCACAGTGACTTAGAAATGATATGCCAATATATGAGTATAAATATTATTACATTAATAGTAACATATGTACAAACGTGTACTGCAAAATATCACATAAAACATATTGAAGCCGGACACGGTGGCTCACGCCTGTAATCCCAGCACTTTGGGAGGCCGAGACGGGTGGATCACTAGGTCAAGAGATCGAGACCATCCTGGTCAACATGGTGAAACCCCGTCTCTACTAAAAATACAAAAATTAGCTGGGCATGGTGGCGCGTGCCTGTAATCCCGGCTACTCAGGAGGCTGAGGCAGGAGAATTGCCTGAACCCAGGAGGCGGAGGTTGCGGTGAGCCGAGATCGCACCATTGCACTCCAGCCTGGGTAACAAGAGCGAAACTCCGTCTCAAAAAAAAAAAAAAAAATATTGAAAATGTATGCTATGTAATTAATATCAATATTGTTAATTATAACATTGTTTTGAATTAAATATTTTATTGAAATTAATTTTACTGCTTTAATGTACCTGCTAGAAAATTCTAAATTATGTTTTATTTATATTGGACAACCCTGCACTCAGGTGTTCGAATCAACTTGGAAAAAGGAAATAAAAAGGGAGTAGAGATGGCCATGATTATTCTTTCAGGAAAGAGAATATCCTAAACACTCTTGTCATGGCACCCAGCACTTCCTTATTCCTCAGGCTGTAGATGATGGGATTGAGCATGGGGGTAAGGATGGTGTAGAAGACTGCCAGGATCTTGTCTTCGGATGGTGAGCGGAGATTCCTGGGCCGAAGATAGGTGTAGACAAAAGGTGCATAGTAAAAGATCACTACAGTTAAATGGGTTGAAATGGTGGTGAAGGCCTTTTTTCTTCCCTCCTTTGAACGCATATGATAGACAGCAAATAGGACTCGGCCATAGGAAGCAGTGATGCCAAGGAAAGGAAAGAGGAGAAAGAAGCTTGTACTTACAAAAACCATATATTCATAGACCCAAGTATCTGTACAGGCAAGAAGCAACATGGCTGGGACATCGCAGAAGAAATGGTCAATGGCCCTAGACCTGCAGTAGGGAATATGGAGGGCATAGACTGTGTGTGCCAAGGAGTTGATGGACCCCAGTGTCCAAGAGCCTCCAGTCATCTTCGCACACACTCTTTTACTCATGCGGATGGGATAGTGGAGAGGGTGGCAGATGGCCACGTAACGGTCATAGGCCATGGAGGTCAGGAGTAAGCCCTCAGAACACGCCATGGTCAGGAAGAAGAAGCTTTGCATACCACATCCCAGGAGGGAGATGCCATTCTGCCCGGAAAGGAAGTTATATGCCATCTTGGGGACAGTGGTGGAGATGTATATCAGGTCCATGAGGGAGAGCTGGCTGAGAAGAACGTACATCGGCGTGTGGAGACGAGGATCCACGTGGATGAGGTGAATCATGGCTGAGTTACCCACCGAGGCCAGAAAGAATATGAGGATGATAAGGCACAGGAGAAATACGCCAGTTTGATTTGGGGGAAGCAGACCCAACAACATGAAATCATTTGACGTGTGATTCCATTTCTCCATGAAAACTCTCTGCTGTAACTGTGTTGAAAAAGATATAGAAACAACAGCAAAGCAGAAAACATGAAATGAAACAACAGAAAAACAAAAAGGAACTGACTTTATCAATGTTTGTTTAGAATGAGTTATTTCTCCTCTAACACTGCAGGTTTTGTTGAATCGATTTCTAGATCTTAACAGAATGTTACCTTTCCAATTATTTCTGGTAAGCATCTCAGCAAGTCATAGATATCTTTGTGGTTTTTCAGTATAAAGTCTAGCCCTGTAGGCAGAAAAGATAAAGAATATAACTAAAACGTTCTTTTCTAGAGAACTCCTGGCCAGTCACATCACTCATGAGTTATCAACAAGTCACAGGATTTGAGAAAGGCAGGGATACCTACTTCTCCAGTGTTTTAATCTAATAGGGCATAATCACAGTAGAAACTTGATGTATGACTCAGAAGTTTTCTATATACTTACATAGTCCTCGTCTTTAATTTCTGGTCTTTCCTCCCCAGCTGACAGTACTCCAGCCAGATAAACCAGATCCTCTCCTTGATACTCTGCCTTTCATATTCCAGACAGGCACTTCTATGCCTTTCCTGCAAATGTGCCCACAATGCAAGTCACTCCTTGAACTGTAAGGGCTTTGTATGTCCAATAAGATCCACCTTAACTGTAAAGTATTATTTACATATTCTCTCTTCCCTAATAAGGTTTTCAGATATTGAAGACCTACAGAATGCAAAATCAAATGCATGGATAGTCAGTCACATACAGTATTAGTTTCTTCATTTAAGTAAATCACTCAAAATAAATGTCAGAGATTGCATAATAGGTTTATTTTTTAAAAAGTATATTTGCCACAGCTGAAAGCAATTACTAGTGAATTATATAGATAATATATATTATTTATAGTATTTAATATATATAATCTATAATTTTATAATATTTATTCATCTGTTACCTTTCATATATGTGTATGTCTATGTACATATCTACCTATTCTTTCTCTCTCTTTCTATCCTATATATAGGAGTCTTTGAAGTACCATACATTATTACAGCTGTTCCTCACGTTATTTATTATAACCTTTCCACAAAACAAATTCTGTGAATTTAGGCATCTTATCTTCATTTTTCAAGTATTTAAAGTAGTATTTAGAGATGTAAAGAATAACCTTCTCAAATACTGTTAGTGATGGAATTAGATTTTGGTCCTGTGTAGCTGCTTCAAATTTCTAGTCATTTCAATTTTGCCCCAAATTTAGTAATTATTTGGTAAATGCCTTCCTGTGTGTACATTATCTCATTCAACTTAAATTGTGTGATTATTCCTCTTCTGCAAAAGATCAAGCCTACATCAATTTCAGACTAGTTTGGAGCATACGGAGGTTAGAGGGGTTGTTCACCTTCTGTTCTTGTAGTCTGGTTTTCATTACCATACATGACAGCAGAGTCAAGCAGCGTACAACTATAAAACTGGAAAAGCCAGTGTGAGCAGGAGGACATTTGTGATTCATCGCTCAAGTATGTCTTCCTATTTCATTAGGTAAAACAATGAAATTCGAATTAATAGTTAATAATTGAGAATAAAAAAATCCAACAGCCAAAATAAATCATTTTTCCCTTTCTGGAAAGTTTGTCTAGCTTTTTATGTCTAGGCCTTTCATCAGGAATTTTTATTTCTGACTCAACTGTTTATAGTCTCTCTTTTTCTCTTTACACTGTCTCAAATCCGGCAATTCATTTTTTACTTCATGCGGTTTCCCAAGTATGCATAAACTGTAATTGTGGCATTTCTTATTTTTCAACATCTTTGTGACTTTCTTCATTACCTGGGCTTGCAGCAAGATGTCATGTTTTTGTGTGTTCTTCTGTCTGAGGCAGACACTGATGTCACATCCTGCCCAGCATATCGATTTGGGTAGTCATCTTGGCTTATTTATTTTCCAACTTTTACTGCTGAAAAGCAATTAATAGTTGCAATTATTGACATTCGGTAACTTAAACTCAACTGTTTCTTCATATAATCTCAGGTAGCATGAATGCAATTGTGAAAGAGAGCCTGCTGTGGAAAAATGACAGTGCATTTCTACAGCTGTCCAAGTGGCAAACACTATCAGTGAAACGTCGGGAGCAGTAATGGTGCACAGTAGCATTGCACATGGGGTCCGGGCAGGGTCAGAGGCATGCTCTGCTTCTTGTAGAGCATTAGAAATTAAAACTGATCAGAAAAGCACATGAAACCCATCATTATGTTACATTCATTTCCTCAAAAAATGTTCACTGAGTTCCTGTTTTATGACACTGTTGCCAGCTACTGCTGTGCTTTTGTGATAAAACACAAAAGATTTTACAATATGTAATTAAAATTAAGTTCATTATACAAACAATAGACCAACAAACTCAACCATACAGTGCGATGTTGTGTGGTGATTGGTAGTCTAAAGAAAAATGAAGGAGCAGAGAGATCATCGGGTTAAACAAAGGAATTAAGAAGGTACTCCAGGAGACTTTTCTAATTTCCAGGGCATGTATGATAAAGATTGATTTTTGAACTGACCTGACTACATTTTATGAGTAAGAAGTATCCTATTAATTTAGTTCCAAGCAAGTATTTCATTCATTTTATCAGATGAATGTGTTGAGAGCCTTTGACGCAGCAGTCACTGTGTGAGGCAGTAGAGACAGAATGATTTATCAGGTGCTGTCCCATCACCAGGTGGGCGACCAACTGTCCTGACATGCCCGGGTTTTTGGGGATCCCCAAGATGCCCTGGAAATTGGAAAAGCCTTTTGGAGTACTTTCTTAATTCCTTTGTTTAATCCAGGTTAAATCCAGGGGAAGAAAGATGCCAGCTGGACTCCCATGACGTGTTTCAAATAGCAAGCATGAACAAGCCGACTTGGCTCTAAGTTTGTGTGTTCCATCCAGGAATTGTTTTGAAGGGAGACATTTGATTATTTATTGCATAGACTACAGCTCAAGGGTATTAAAAAGGTTGTTTCATGGTAGTTACTAGAATAACAATTTTGTTTCCAAAAATGGAAAACTAGCATATTGTTAGGCAATGGAAGAGAATAACATCTTTTAGGCTCCTGCGAACCTAGGACTAGAAGTTTTAGGTCATGGGACACTGGAGTTTGAATTTAGGATCCATTTCCATTGTTGTCCAGCAGCTTTCCTTATTAGACACGGGACCTTATTTAATGCGCCAGAATTACATGAAGCATCACTCTGTTGGTTACATTATAGCTGGGAAAATATTGTACCTGTGGCTACCAGGTGAGTCTAGGGTTAGCAACTGACTTGGTTATTCTTGACTTAAAGTATAACTGAGAAGAACTTGAACAGATTTACAAGAGAAAACAAAAAACCCCATCAAAAGTGAGCAAAGGATATGAACAGACACTTATCAAAAGAAGACATTTAGCAGCCAACAAACATGAAAAAAAGCTCAACATCACTGGTCATTAGACAAATGCAAATCAAAACCACAATGAGATGCCATCTCACCCCAGTTAAAATGGTGATCGTTGAAAAGTCAGGAAACAGCAGATGCTGGAGAGGATGTGGAGAAATAGGAATGATTTTGCACTGTTGGTGGGACTGTAAATTAGTTCCACCATTGTGAAGACAGCGTGGTGATTCCTCAAGAATCTAGAACCAGAAATACCATTTGACCCAGCAATCCCATTACTGGGTATATACCCAAAGGATTATAAATTATTCTACTATAAACACATCCACACGTGTGTTTATTGCAGCACTGTTCACAATAGCAAAGACTTGGAACTATCCCAAATGCCCATCAATGTTAGACTGGATAAAGAAAATGTGGCACGTATACACCATGGAATACTATGCAGCCATAAGAAAGCATGAGTTCATGTCCTTTGCAGGGACATAGATGAAGCTGGAAACCATCATTCTTAACAAACTAACACAGGAACAGAAAACCAAACACTACATATTCTCACTCATAAGTGGGAGTTGAACAATGAGAACACGTGGGCACAGGGAGGGGAACATCACACACCAGAGCCTGTCAGGGCTTGGGAGGCTAAGGAGGGGAGAGCCTTGAGAAACCCCTAATGCAGATGACGGGTTGATGGGTGCAGCAAACCACCATGGCACGTGTATGCCAATGTAACAAACTTGCCTGTTCTGCACATGCATCCCAGAATGTTGTAAAATATAGTAATTTTTTAAAAATAATAAAAGAAGAATGACACTGAGAAAAATTAATACGGAAAGTTTATTTGGGCCTAGGTTGAGATCCGCAGCCCAGAAACACTTCCTTGGGAAGTTTCCTGGAGAACAAAAGACCCAAGTTTTTAAGGAAAAGAAAAGGAGGAATCAGAAGAGGGGACAAATTCTAAAGTTCTTTGTCAGCAAGTCTTGTTGCAGAAACAACATTGATCAGTGATTGGCTATGTATTATTTAACTATAGGCTATGTGGTATAGGGTCTTGATAGATTAATTCATGGGTAGTTCGCACAAGTCAGTCTAGAGCCCGCATAGCAAGCAGCATCAACAAATGACTTCCTAGCTCAAGGAAGAGTGAGATGTGACTGCAGTCACATTTCAATGTCTCTTTGTACCTGATAATTTAAAGGAGGCTTGCATCCTTCAGCCAAAACATTTCTCTCTCATTCTAAAAGATACATTGCTGAAATTTGTAGAGTTAAGAAACATCTTTTTTCACAGGAACTAATAATACAAGTGTAGCAAGTATAGGGCTCTGAATTTATTTTGTAAGTGTTACGAGTAGTGAGCACTTTTTAAAACTTTTGTAGACAATCAGCACAAGACCAATAGCAAATTCTCATAGGCTCAGCTACCTCAATCTCAACAATGTATAGGACAGCTGTATTTAGAGACTTCTGTGTGTTCAGCACATAGCAGATTCTTAGTGTCACTATCCTTTGCCTATTCCCTGTCTTAACTATTGAGGCCCTGAGAAGTTGTCTGTGTTAATGTTACATTGTTTGAAAGCTGCATATAGTATAACTCTAACAAGTTTATATTACCT